GGAGCTGGGAAGGGAATGGAGAGTTCCTGAGGAGCTGAGGGGGCTCAGCCTGGAGCAAAGGAGGCTCAGGGGGACCTTGTGGCTCTCACAGCTCCTGCCAGGAGGGGACAGCCGGGGGGATTTGGGATCTGTTCCCAGGAACAGGGACAGGAGGAGAGGGAACGGCCTCAGGGTGGGCACTGGGAAATTCCTCATGGGAAGGGCAGGGCTGGAGTCCCCATCCCTGGAGGGATTTCAAAGCCTTGTGGCTGTGGCACTTGGGGACAAGGTCAGTGAGTGGTGGCAGTGCTGGGGATCCTAAAAGTCTTTTCTTTTATCCCCTTCTCATTCCATGAAGTGACAATAGAAGTGTCCCTGCCCTTGGCAGGGAGGTTGGAGCCAGGTGATCTTTAGGGTCCCTTCCAAGCCCTCCCATGCCAGGATTCCACGGTATGGAAGCCAGCAGCATGCCACCTGCACAAGCAGCGCTGAGGGAGGCCAGGTGTGCTCACGCAGCTGGAGAATTTCATTTCTATCTCCCAAAAGCAAAGGCAGGTCACAATCACACCTCGGTGGTGTCACAGCCTGGGAACCCTGCTCTCCATCCCGCTCTGGCATTCCCCTGAAGGACAGCACCTGATAAGGTGTGCTGGGAACGGGACATTCCAGCGCTGTTTTCCCAAAAAACTGATAACGGGAACAGGCAGCCGCTGCCGAAGGGAGCCGCATCGGCCGCGAGGAGACCTTGGCGCCCAGGGGTGCTCCTGCGGGACATCCTGCTGCTGTTTTCGCAGGAAGATCCGCCGTGTCCTTGGATCCCACGGCTCACGGGGAGGCACCGCTGCCGGCAGGGCTGGGATCGGTGTCCGTGCTGCGGGCAAGGTGTGTGCGAGCGTCCTTCCCGAAATTCCGGGGGAGACCGCGGCTGGGAGCGCCTTCACATCGGGCTTAATGCCCGCGGCGACTTTGGGCAGCGGCTTTGGCACAGAGCCGGGCAGATTCCTGAAACAGTCAACTGGGAACTCCTGAATTCCGGGGCTAATTTCAAGATTTGGGGTTAATTTCAAGGGTTTGTCACAGAGCCCGGACATCCTGACTCCTGAAGCAGACAGGGCTGCACAAGCGGGAGTTTCTGAGCTTTGGGGGGCTGCACAAGAGGGAGTTTCTGAACTTTGGGGGGGCTGCACAAGCGGGAGTTTCTGAGCTTTGGGGGGGCTGCACAAGAGGGAGTTTCTGAACTTTGGGGGGCTGCACAAGCGAGATTTTCCAAACTTTGGGGGGGCTGCACAAGAGGGAGTTTCTGAACTCTGGGGGGGCTGCACAAGCGGGAGTTTCCGAACTTTGGGGGGGCTGCACAAGAAGGAGTTTCTGAACTCTGGGGGGCTGCACAAGCGAGATTTTCCGAACTTTGGGGGGCTGCACAAGCGGGAGTTTCCGAATTTTGTGGTAAAATGCCGGGTTCAAGGGGGGCAGGGAGCAGGCGGCTGGGGAAGGCTGCACCTTCCTCAGTAATGGGGAAAGGAAGAGGGAGTGCCCGGCCGGGAGTTTGGGATAAAACTGAGGCTGTGCCCTCCGAAACCTGGAGAGAGGAACCCCCGCAGGCTGTGCCCGGTGAGCTCTGCCTTTATCCCAATAAAGCTGCAGGACTCCTCTCTCCTTTGGGGACACCGGCTTTTCACAGCGTGCGGGGTTTTCCAGGCACTTCGGGACCGCAGCCGCCTTCCCGTCCTTTATGGGGCTGAGGATGGGGCAGGAGGAGCGGGGGCTGCCTGTGCTCGGGGCAGGGACACAGGTTCTCTCCTGCTGGGATGTCACAGGGTGTCACTGACACGGGGCTGTGACACGGGGACTGCCATGGGGCTGTGTCCCCTCCTGGGTACAACACAGGCACTGTGCCACGGGGCTGTGTCCCCTGAGAAGGTGTCCAGGCCATGGGGCTGTGTCATTCACTGAGGTGTCCAAGCCATGGGGCTGTGTCCTCTCCTGGGTACAACACGGGGGCTGCCATGGGGCTGTGTCATTCATGGAGGTGTTCAAGCCATGGGGCTCTGTCCTCTCCTGGGTACAGAACTGGGACTGCCATGGGGCTGTGTCATTCACGGAGGTGTCCAAGCCATGGGCTGTGCCTTCTCCTGGGTACAGAACTGGGACTGCCATGGGGCTGTGTCATTCACGGAGGTGTCCAAGCCCTGGGCTGTGCCTTCTCCTGGG